TGAACATACTATGTGAATCTTAAAATTAATATATTTACAGATTAAACATATTGGATTGAAAGATGGGAACATAATCATCTCATAATGACTTGCTTGATAGATACAAAACATTACAAAAACTATTATGCATTTTCATTTAAAGTGGATGTGCTAAATCATCTTTGTTATTTAAAAATCTAGCTTTTTGTTCTTAAGATTTAGTGTGATATTCTAGAAAATGTTTTTAAAAATTTGTTTGAAATTTCTAATTTAATTAATGTTTTTTGTTGAATATAAATTTAATATTTTATTATAATGAGATTCGAGATTAAGATTAAGATACTTTCTGTATAAAGAGATGTTGTCAATCTTACAGGAACATGACAACTTGAAAATTGGACATCAAACCTTTACATATTTTTACACAATTTACCATTGAACTAAACAAGAATATAATCATCTTTATTAATTTTTAACATTTGCTGATTATAATGAAAATCTAAATCATCAACCTTAAAAGTCTAGATATTAATTTCAAAATTAGTCATGAATTTGAATTGAATATTCAGGATTATAACAATCTACTTCTAAGTGCCCATAACTTAGTTTTCTTCTTATCTACACTATCCCTATAAAATTATATTACATGATTAATATCAAAAATCAATTTTGGACTTTCTCTATTCATCTTCTTAAATCGTAGATAAATACATTGCGGCTTTATTTAGTAACATATGCATCAGTACTTTTTCATCATATCGCCATGTTGATGGGCTTTTGTTCTAATTCTATTCTTAATCATTTCTTTATTAATGCCAAAATGGAAATATCAATAAAAATAATAATCAGAATCCTTTGCATAATCATTCAATAAACTGTCTCACTTTTTAAGAAGCAGGATTCGAGATCAAAAACTTTTACAGTTGATTTTTTGATTTTCATTGCCTTGTTCTTATTCGTACTTTTATATTTATATTTATATCTATTAAAATTTCTATATAAAACTTGTTTTTAATTTTTAATTAAACACGAATAATAATAATTATGAATTAAAAGATAGTATTAGAGAAATGTTTAGAACACTCAGAAGAAATTGTGGCCATTAATGAAAACGAAAAAGACTTACAAAAAAGAGGATTATGCACTAAATGTTTGGCTAATGGATACAAAAAAAAACATATTCAAGATTCGATCAATCAGATCAAATAAACTAAATAATTACTTAAAGAAGATAAAACAAATTTATTGTAAAGTTATTTGGAAAATATGAACAAATTAAATGAAAGTGTTGAATTATTGAAGAAGTTTTACATTTAATAAATTGAATTGATAATCATTTCTATTAAAAAGTGGACTTAATAAATTCAAAATGTAGAAGAAGATTTTATTAATAAGATATAATCTAAAGAATCTTATGATTTCTAATTATTTATTCAATATATTTAGGAAGAATAAAAGAATTAAATTCAAGATTCTATTGACTTTAAAGTTAATATTCAAAATTTATTACTATCATTAACAGAAACTGATTTAATTAAAAAATGCTAAATATTGTTAGAAAATCAAATAACCAAACCGATTGTTTTTGAAAATAATGATAAAAAAGAAAATGAAGATGTAGAAGTAGTATAAAATTTATTAATTTAGGAACTAAATTTATTATGTGAAGATCATAAGAAATAAATTACAATATTTGATCTTTGTAAAGAAAGAACTAGTTAAAAACGTATTGGATGTTTGGAATGTTTAGATGGCACAATTAAATATACTTCTATTAAAAGAGCTCATTAAATGTGGAAATAAATTCAATAAAAAAAATTAGAAAAAATGAATTAAAATGCTGATGTATTCTAAAATAAAGTCAATTGTCTTAAGGATTATTTATAAATAGTATAAAAAGGATATATTTCTGCAATTGAGAATACTACGAATAAATTAAATATAATTTATTAAGATTATTCTAATAAAGTTCATTTAACAACTAATAATTTAATTAATACATCTTGGAAATGTTTATCTAAAGAAGAAATTATTAAAATTGCATAAGATTTAAGTTAAATTAATTAATAAAATAGTTAAGAAGATCCATTATTTATTGAATATGATAATTAAGATAATTAAATAAATTAAATTATTAAAGATACTGTTTTATGTTTGTAAGAATGTTAAATAACTTAATTTAATAAAATAAATGGATTAATTAATAATTTATTGATAAATGATAATATTTAAAGTTATATTATAGAAAATACCAAAACATAATAATTTTCTTCAATAATCTAATCGAAAATTAAAGAATAATAATTAAAACCATTTACTTATAATTTATTATAGAATAGTTCAATTAAATAAATTGAATCATGTTATGCAATTGCATTTAATAAAGATAATTCAATTGTAGTAATTGGTTGTAGTAAATAGATCAAAGTATTTGAATTTAAATAAGAAAAATTAAAATAATCTCAAATTATAAATGAACATAACGATCGGATTTTTACATTGAATTTTATGAAGAAATCAAATTAATTTATATCAGGAAGTGACGACGATAATTTTATTATCATATGGTTAATGAATGAAAATAATGAATGGATTTGTTAATAGAAATTAAATGGACATACAAGTTATATTTTATGTTTAGTATTGAATAATAATGAAGATATTATCATATCTGGAAGTGCAGATAAATCAATTAAATTTTGGATGAAATAGAATGAATGGATCTGTTCATAAACTATCACAGATCATACTGATTCTGTATATCAATTAAATATGAATGATTCATAAAATAAAGTGATTTCTTGTGGATAAGATAAGTTAATATTAATAATAGAATAGTCATAATAGGATTAAAAATGGAATATAAAATAAAAGATAAATGTTGAATAGTTTGGTTATAGAATATGTTTTATTAATGATAATTTATTCACATTTTAACCTAATTCTAAAGAATAAATGCATATTTATGAAATCGATAGTAATAATAAATAATATTTAAAAACTAAAGAGATTATAGTTAAATCTGGATATGCAAGTTGTGATTTTTTTTTTCCTTAATAATATATAAAATAGAAATGTTTAGTGGTAAATAAGAATGGATATAATGTTAATTTAATAAGGAAATAACAAAATGGATCTTTTATTAATGAATAATCTATTGATTTTGGAACAAATGGTTTATATGGATTAATGAGTGATAATGGAGATTATTTGATTACATGGGATGATAAATAAAAAGAAATTTAAATTAGAAAATATTAAGAAAAATGATTAATTATTATATATTATTATAAGTGAATATTTATGATTACATTAACGATAGAAGAGTAGGTTTTTTAAGGGAATTTGAAAGAAAATTTAAGAAATGAGAGTTAAAAAACACTTCAATAAAAATACAAAGTAAAGTTTTAAATCCAAAAAGTCAAAAAATAAGAAAAAAGAAGTTAAAAATCATACTCCTATGAAATATAAAATGAAATTTAAAAGGGAAAAACTGAAAAAATAAGAAAAAGGGAGTTAAAAAAACACTGAGATAAAAATACAAAATGAAATTTAAAAAAGATGTTTCTTCATAATATTGAATGAAAAAATTATCTCGGTTTTATATCATATATATAATATTTAATAATAGATGTATTAATAATGGAAAGTTAGCAAGATAATGATTAATTTATAAGCGAAGTTAATGAATTGAAGAAGAATAATAGGATATTCAATAATAATGGGAACATTAAGGTTAATAAGTAGAAATTCAAGAGGAAGAACGTTCAATTTAAGAAGATTTTTAAGATGAATAAGGAAATTAAGGAGAGAGAGACCAAGGAGCATAGGAATGAACTAATTAATATTATATATCAGTTTTATGATTTTTATTTTAAATACAAATTTTCTTACATCAAAATATTGTTATAATTACAAATGTGCAATAAAATATAAATATGGGCTAGGTGATTAACAATATATTATGTTACAATCCTAAAATTTGATAATTAATTAATAATTTTGCAATATCAAAGTTTTTACTAGTAGTAGAATAATCTGAACATATCGTCACTAATGAATAACCAAATGATGAACTAAAATAAATTAAATAATTATTTAATACTTCAGTTACAAAAATATTCACAAAAATGTTAATACTACTATCGGCACAAATCCATTACCCAAATAACTCTATATTTTATAGAATTATTCATCTATTTTCCTTGTTATTAGATCATAAATTCATTAGTAAATAAAGTAATATAATTCTATCTCATAAATATAATTGAATTGTATTTTTCCAGTCTAATGAATGAAATAAATAATTACTAATAGTGGGTTTGGG